CCACAAAGACTACACAACAATTATAAGCTTTAAACTGATGGATAAAATTGGCTGTAATGCTGCACTTCACATCAGAGACTGCTCACAAGAGTCATCATATTTTAATGTCTCAAATATTTAAGCCATGTTACAGTCAAATGTGGCGAGCTTTTTTTTTTTTTTTCAGTTCATGCCGAAGATGCCAGATTTTTTTCATATTATCTCTTCATTGAAAAGGAAATCCATTTTCCTGGAAATGGATTTTCCTGAAAAGGTGGACTTCTACAGGGAAAAGAAAGAAAAGCTGAAAAATACAGGCTGGTTTTGGTGATTTTTTTCCCCCTCCCCGCAAAATCCTAAATTTTGAGGGAAGTTTTCAGTAGGAAGGGAGATACATTTTTGTCTTTGGTTTTTACCTCCTGTTTCTGTCCAGGTCAGGTACCTAATTCTCCTTTCCTTCTTTGTGCCTCAGCCACCACAGTCCCAGTGGGGGAAGGCTCTGGCATGGCCCCAGCCCCCAGTGCTGCAGGAGACTCTTATTTAGAGACTGGTGCTAGACCATTGGCTGAAAACTGCCAGACAATATAGCCAACTTCCCTCATCACTAAAAAAACAGGAAGTAAACATTTTTAATTCACTGCTTTTGGCAGTATTGCTCTCTAATGTGTTTTAGTACTACACCGGAACATAAAGACTGCTAGCTTTAAACAGGACATAAGAGTTACCTGCAGAAACACTTATATCCTTCAACAGAAGAACAGCAACTTAAAAGCCTTTTATATGTTGGTGGAAAAGAGATCATTAAAAAGCAGTTTGTTAGCACCTCACAGACATTTCTTAATGTATATAACATGTAAATGAAAAAACAAGAAATTGTTCAGATATACTAGGATCACTGATTACTCAAATACATTGTTACAAAAAATGAATTGACAGTATTGTTTGAGGACAAAAACATGAATTTACTGAAATTAATGAACAGTTTTAAAGGCTTTTTATATAGATTGTTTTTAAGACAATGCTACATGTTACTTGTTGCATAGTGAATTTATCGAGTTTGGGCAGACAATCATAACTGAATTATAAAGTCTAACTTTTCAAATGAGATTAATGGTTACTCCACTAGTACCCTATAATCTTTCATTTTTGTACTAAAAGCATTAACTAAAAACATTATTTAATCCATTACAGAATGGAAAAGATATTATTTTTTGCATCAGATCATTTCCATAATCCACATATCTTCAATTATTATGCATTGTCATAAATGACATCACACTGACAGCCTGAAATTGGTCAAACATTTAAGTGTAACGAGGGGCAAGACACCTGAAACTTCAGAGTAGGCCACCTTGTTAAAGAGTTCAAAACTAATCTTTTTTTTCCAGAAAAATCTGCCAACAATGACCTATGAGATAACAAATTATATTTCATCTGTTTTAACACCTGTAGGCCTTGTGCAACTGAAAAGTTAATTACCCATTCAAACTCCATACAAATCTTACATTTGAATTGTCTCTGCACACTGGATTCAAGAGGTTTGATAAGGCTATATTTCCTTCAAGCTGTTTGTGCTGTTGCACTATAACAAGATAGAAAACATGAAGTAAAAATTTATATTAATATGCTCCAGAAACTTTCAGACTGCCACCCATTCTTCTTACAAAATCTTGACAGTTATTAATACAAGTGAATATCCAATTTTCTTCACCTCCTGGTTATAATACTTGCTGTGAAAAAAAGAGCAGCTGGAACATAGAAGGTAGGCAACCACACAGATTACAACAAAGGTAAAGAAAACTTAAAACTAGAACCTGTTTGTAGGCAACAACCATCCTCTGATTTTAGCTTTATATACCTCAAAGAACTTTCCTAAAAAAGGCAGGGACAAAACCAGAACACACAGAATACACACAGAGAGTAGGTGACACTAACTCACCTTAGAGTAACTGATACAAATATATATTCAATGTATTCAAGGGTGTTCTGGATTTTGAATATGTATTCCACATGTGACTGGATTATTTTGGCCAATAGCACATAACAGCTCAAGTCTGTGGCCCTGCTGCTCTTCTGCCATTCCTTCTGACTAGTCATTAGTAATACCAGTATGCCAACTAAAATTCATTGTAATCCAACATAGTAGCAAAAGGCAGCATTTTGCTGAACACATAAATAACTGAGATATGAGAATGGGTCTTTTTCAAATTGTTGTCTATGGGCATTTAAAACTTGTAACATCATAAATTGTATGACTTAACAGTTTTAGTGTCTTAGGTCAAAAAGCAGGACCAGTTTTTGAAGTCATTTTCTGGAGCAGAACCAGATAGAAAGTCAAATGTTTATGAATCAAAAACCACTTAGGAAGCTAGGAGAAGACCTAATGTATAAAGAGGCAAACGGTTGGGATACCAGTAAGGCACCTGAACACCCTGCACCTTACATATAGCCAGTAAGAAAATTCTTGATACCCCAAGAGCAGAACTTTGCATAAGGTGCACAGCAAGTGATCTCCCTCTCTCTTTTTGAAAGACATTGCATTTCTTGATTGCTGATAAAGCAACCAAAGTTGGAAAAAATATGTACATTTACTTTCTTTATGGACCATTTGTTGTTATAAATAAGCAAAGACAAACAGCAGGGCTGGACAATGGGTAACATTGCAAGGACACGGGGACGTAAAACTATCGGGTTTGTGAACCTATTTGGTTAACAGCCATTCAGCATAAGAGACTAGGATAGGAAAAGCAACCAACACCCAGACACACAAACCCTAATGAACAGGAGATAAGAGTTCTGGTCTTTGCTATTATCTCTGTTAGGTCACTGACTGACGGGCCATGGAAGGAACCACTCAGGCATGGCCTTGAAGAGGTTCAACCAGATACGAAGTGGTAAACAATGTCATCATGGGTCTTCTGGGAAAGAACAAACTTAAAGGATGTCTGCAGGGGCTTGTGGAAATGTGCTAACATTTTTATGGGATGTTCAGGGGAAATGTCAAAGGTAGGGAAGGTGAATCAGGATGGAACAAGTGTGGGAAAACGGAGAGGAAGTGGCTTAAAGAGGAGTCATTAGTGTAAGCTGCAAGTCAGTAGGTTTGTTTGGCCCAGCCCTGCACCTGATCGCTGCAGTCTGTCCTATGTTTTTATTGAGTCCTACCTGTACTATTTTCTATGTGACTTTGCTCTCTATTCTGCATAGGTGTGATGTGCAAGCAAACTTCGGAGTCAGTCAACAACTACGACGAGACCTGTATCTGGAAAGATCTAAGGTCTAAGCCAGTGACCAAGTAAGAGATCTCAGGCCTAGATATGAATGTTTGATGAACTTAAAGCCTGTGTTAACATTTGAGTCTGTGCATGTGGGCATGCTTGCGAATCATCAGAGGGCTGGTGCGCATGTTTCACTAGCAAACTTCCAATTCCCATCAGCTGGAGAAGAACTTTATCAGGCTGTTTGTATTCTTGTTCACCTGAGTGCTGTTTGCATTTATACGTGGTGCCAGTAAAGGCAATGTTTTTTCTCTGTGATGGTCTGTGTGACCATACATATCCTATGAATAGTGCCATCTTGGGAACATGTGCTCAGTCTTGCTATTGGCTGGATGTACGAACAGGAACAGCGGCAAGCAGACCAAGAGGAGGAATCCCCTGTAGCTTAGAGGCTACTAGATATAGGTTCCCTTCATGAATATGTCGTGATTACCCCACTGGAATTACTCTGCATGGATCCAACTCTGACAAAACACCATAGTCTTGCACTACACTACAGTTGTTCCAGAGGCTAGAAAACATCCAGTTATCTTCAAGCTTCCTTTCTCCTTCCATTCTGTGTGCCATTCTCTGCCTTCATACTAACTCATCTTTTGCCAGCCACTCAAGACTGTGTGTCACCTTTTAAAAAGACGGAACTGCAAGAGCAACCTAACTTCAAAATCATGCATGGATGAAACAAAAATGTTTCTGGTTCACCTTTACAGCAAAACATATGGTAACTAGTAGCCAAGCAGCAAAACATGTGAATAAAACAGTTCAGCAAATTTTATAAAACCATACCTTGCTGCTTTGAAAAGCTATTTGATTTAATAAGCTTGCATTTTTCTCCCTAACAAAACTTTCATTACATGACACTTAAGACCAAAATAAGACTTCATACGGACCTCAAGACCAGAGGAACACGTTGGTTTGTTTTGTTTTTTTTTAAACCAGTATGCAATTGTTTCTGTAAATTTGTGTCTCCTTTAAAGCATGCTAAAAGGCTCAAAGGCAACAGAAGGGGCAAATGGAACTTTTAAGCAATACTGTAGGTAATTTTACCTGTCCAGTATTTAGTACTGATTTTATACTTCTACCTTATTCTTAAACTTTCTCAGGGTAAACTTTCAGTGACAAAAAAAACTTCATGACAATTTGTAGAAAAACATGTAGTTCCGTACCTTCAGGTGGGGATATAAATAGATATGATACAAACAACTAAACAACCATTGACCTGTATTACAAGTCAGATCTTCTAGACCTAACCATTACGTAAGATTGTCTGTCTTACTGGTAAACAGACTCTAGCCAAACCGTTAGGATTCCCACCTCATTAGGAACTTCATGACTATAGCGACAATAGCATGTTTTCCAGATCATTAAAGATAAGCCATTAATACAAGTATTTACAATTTTCCTACGCACCGACTTGAGCAACTAAAATAACACCTGCATGACAGTTCATCAATAAGTAAAATGCACAAGAAAATCCACCCCTTTCAAGCACTACTGGTACTGGAATCTCTCTATTTATCATCATTTATTTTATCATGAATGATAAAATTTTAAAGGTATGTAGGTTATGGGCTTCAGCAAGGGTAACAGTTACCTCGCTTAAAAAAGGCTAAGTGTTATTTTGTATTAATAAACTTGGATAACAGCATATTTTTCCACAGATCTTAGGATTTCACGTGCCCTGACCTTGTACAATAAGTTAAAGACAATAAGAGCAGAAAAGAAAGAAACCTCAAATTGTGCACTTACTTATTCAATGTGAGGTCAAGGATGAATTTGGAGCCAAAGGCCTCAATCTGGAAACTTGCCTGGGCCAGATGTACAGCCTGTAAACATGAACACACAGGAGTACGATACAGTTTTGCAGAACATTTAAAGTTGTCAAAAGAATCACTGAGCTTTATATGCAACAAATACGCGACAAACACCTGTGAAAAACAAAGTTATTGGAAACATGCTTATTTTCATTAATCTCATAGGCATATGGAAAGCTTTGCCCTTGTACTAAATTCTGATTCAAAAGGATTTGTCTTTTTAGATAGCAAAGGAAGAGAGAGAAGCAAACAGTACCTGAAAAGCACGCCTTCAAATACACACTCATTCCTCATAAAAACAAGAAGGAAAAAAAAAAAAAAAAAAGATTCACATAAATATCTATATTTTGCCATAACCAGATGGCTACGTAACAAAAGTGTAAGTAATGTAGTATACTGTTCTTTTAATTATGTTACTGCATTCATTCACTTTAAAAGGCCTAAAATAATTAAAGCATTTGTAATACACGCCTTCGAATAAGAAAATCATGGCACGGCCTGTATACATGTTATGAAAGACTCCTTCAAAGTAATCCCTTCACAATTAAAGGCTTTGTACTTAGCATTGTAGCCAAACCAGTGTACAGAAGACTGATGCTGCTCAACACAACAGAAAAACAACATTAGCTTGTCTCGCATAGGGAGGTAACTTTAACCTTCAAGATATTCAATTTTTATCAGATATATAAAGAGCATTCTTTATTCTTTTCTATACTGTTGTAACTGAAGCCAAAGACGTTTAAAATATACTGATCTGTTTTCTAGAAAAATAAGAAGATAAGAGATGATCCAAGAATTTCTTTTTGTGAAGACACTGTTCTAAGCAGGGTGGAAGAGACTAGATCTGAATTTCATGGAACCTCTTCCCTGATAATGTTCTAATCAAATCATGCTTACTTATACACTAATTTGATACAGCATTAACAATTACATAAAGTTGGAATATTATGACTAAGCCCTTTAATCAAAAGACAAAAAAATACTATTTTGCATTAAACACCACAATGAATCTTCAGGTATGTCACAAAAACTATATCATGTTCTAGCTAGTTTATGGCATAACTTAAATAATATGAAGGTTAGCTTTTATGGCCCACAAGGCCTACAATTTTATTCTCCTTTGGAAATTTTTCCACAAAGGATAAATCTTTATGTTCTTCTTCCATTCTTGCACTACACAAAGCAGCACTGATTTTCATCTTATTTTGCAGCAAAGGTATCCATCATCTTTCATAAAACCCTTCAGTATAATTTTAAAAAAATATTTCTAAAAGTTGCTATAGTGACTAAAATCAGCTGTGATGTTTCCTGTGTCAGTTTATCATTTTTGCCCCCAGAATTATCATCAAGAGGGTCACAGAGGTTTGTTGTCAAGCTGCTTTAAAAAAAATTGTGCAGTTACAAAATATTTGAAAGATCTTTAATATCATTAAACAATCTCCTACCTAAAGCCTGTTTTTTGTTTATTCAAAAAATACAATAACTTTAAACAAGAATTTTAAAAATAATATTCCTGGTGATATTTAAAATAATATGGAAGCAAACCAGTATCAAGCTTTCTCTCTGTTACATTTTTTTAGTGAATTAATATTAACAGCTGTCTCCCCAGTTCACCAATTTGCTGACATAACACTGGCCTGGCAAACTGAGCTTACAGCTGCTCTGAATCACCAGAGTGAAAAAGTTTCTGTATGAGGACAAACACGTGACTTGATGGAGAGAATCTGAGAGAATCTGCAAGGATGAAAGCTAGCATGTATATTTAAAAAAAAAAAAAAAAAAAAAAAAAAGCATAGCATCTCAGTTTAAATGCATGCCTAGCAGGAAAGGTTTTTTAGCCCTTGTCCCACTTTTTTTTCACAGTGAAACCAAGAAACAATTGTCACAAGGAGCTTTTCAAGCACCTGTTTGTGACAAAAACCTCATTATGTTTTCAACATGCACATGTATTAATTAAAAAAAAAAAAAGCATGCACATTTGTTGCAGGAAAAGGGTTGCAATTAGTTTTATCCCATAAAGATTCCACTTAGAGTTACAGGAGCTACTGCTTTGAGTCTCCTTCACATGTAACATTTACCTAAAATTATGTGTCTTCATATATATACGCCACAAACAAGACTTCAATATTAACTATCTGGAAAGTTTACAAGAGCGTGTACCATTCCATTAAGATAATTCTCATTTGTCATGTTTCAGAACTACAGAATTTCTTAAAGTACCTAGTTTTTATTACTTTTTTTATATATATGTATATATATCAGTTTGAAAGTTTTTCAAAACATCTCCTGCTTGAAACTAAACGTGGTAATTTTGAGTATATTGCATTTTTACATACAAACCATTAAGACTCAGTCTTGCCTTTAAGATAAGATTATTGTTTACAGATCTATGTCATAACATTCTTAACACACCTAACATGGCAAAAAGTGACTGCCCAATCAGGGTTTACTCAGTGCAGTGTATCATTAATGATGTTTACAAGTCCTTTTAGAAACAATACTAACTACCAGTGATCCCAAATGCTATACTTAGCCAAGTTGAGCAAAAAAACTAATATCAAAAGTGACTATATACTTTTTCCAGGGCCAGTTTATAAAAGCACACTCTTTTCAGTTTGATCAAAGTGCAGCATTTCTTTCACTTCTCCTAACAGACTAGGCATTACTTAAAACATGTATTCTTTGAAACACTTTTTAGAACAAGGGCAGCATCAAGGCTAAATAATCACCTGCAAGAGAGAGATACCCAAGTATTTTGTTTCCCACTTTAAATTTTTTTTTTGTTTTGTCACTGTTGTTCTGACTGCCAATTCCAAACCAAAAAAAGCCAAACTCTTTAATATCTTTCCTTTCAAGCAGATTCAAGCTACTTAACTCATTAAGAAAATGCTTAAGTGTGGAGGATGACATACAACTTGAATAATAAAATGCACTTCAAAAGCAATCATGGTGGACTGAAATATGCCAAAATCCTAAAACTTCATCACAGAGACTAAAAATGTACATGTATATAAAAAAAAAAAAAACAAACAGATAACCTCAAGATCGGGAACTCCCATCAAGGGCTATTAAATCCAAAATACAAGTTCTGGTTCCCAGAAGATCCTGTGCCACAAATTGCTGGAGTCTTGGAGATAAGTCTAGGAAGTAGCACCCCATGACTGTTACGCTCCTGTATACCTCCCTGGGCATCTGCTACTGATTGCTCTCAGAGACAGCTAGATGGGCGCCTCGTCTGATCTGCTACAGCTTTTCTTTTGTCCAGCCAAGCCCATTAAGTTTCTAAGCCATCAACCATGTATTCTTTATCTTTTTGCAATTTAAAGTAACTTGTATTCTCAGTCTACAATATCATAAGAAAAAGTTCATCTTGTAGGATTAGATGGAATATCATTGCTATTTCTGAAAACAATTACTTCTGTGTACAAAAACACCACTTGCTATCTATTACTGTGCCTCACTTAACAGGTGTAGCCTGTACACATAAGCAAGCAGCTGACACTAGTTGCTACCCTGCAGTAGGGCATGTTCTCCACCAAACTCAGCTCAAACCACTGGTTACAAAAAGAACACTGGATTTTAAATTCCTGCAGTTTAGCAAAAACAGTTTTGAATTCAGGCGAATGTGATACACCACTGCTGCAGCAAGATACAGATTTAGTTAAACCAGATTAATAATAGACACCACCTGTGAAAGCCATAAGCCAGAAATCAGGTGAAGGTAATGAGACCAAAGTATTTGATCCTGAAACTGACTTTTTTTTCTGTAACAAGTTAGCACAGAAAGCTACCAGTGAGTTCTCACCAGGTGTTTCAGCTGTTACAACCACCATGTACCACCATGATGGGAGGAAGTATTTCAGGAAAGTATTTGTGGAATTCTGTTATACAGCTTATTGCTTCACAGTATTCTCTTATCAGCTACTAGGTAATACAATGTCTGAAGTATGATCTGAAATACAGTGTTCTTCTGATAGGCACAGAAATACAAATTCAAACAAGAATATAATGTAGATTAGCATATATTCTGAAGAATGTATATGGACTAGATATCTTGCCATGTCTTTTCACAGGAAAAATATTACACATCGCCTTCTTGTACCGCTTGCATACATGTATATGTTCACATCTGCGTGAGTATTCTTTACTTACATAAACAGGAGACCAAGTTCCTTTTTTACATGTTTGCTTATAATTTAAACACCTCTGCAGAGGTTCCTGCTTTGACAGCTGTAAGCTACTCCAATGGCAAAGCTGCAAAATTACATAAAGTTTTTCTGCAGCAAAGACTGATGATGCATAGAGGAGCGGGTTGAAGGAGGGTCTGGGTCTTTAAAATTTTTCCTGCCCCCAAACCCAAATTTTAGAGAGAGAGAAAAAAAAAAAAAAAAAAGTCTTTTTTCACTGTTCTGGAAGCTCAGATTACTAGCGTAGTCACTGTAACGAGATTCTTCGTACTAGGGACATTCTAAGAGGGCTGTAGCTGCTTGTGCAAAGCAGTAGCTCTCAGGTTTTTTCCAAGCTAAAAATCCGTATACATAAAGAATTGCAGTTTCTTTCAAATCAGTCATTAGCTTACTGTAAGTTTCAAGATAAAAAATGGACTAGAAGGCTGTAACTGGAATCTCAGTTCTACTGATTCATGTCAAAACTTGAATGGTTTCATTGTTTTTCATTATTGCACTTGGGCATCATTTGTCCATAATTCACTTTTTCCAGACTTTTGTGAATTTTACAACCATCATCACCAAAAGTAAAGTACTATATTGGTTTTACTTTCTTCACAGTAAAACTATGCCAAATGCAATATGTTACCCCTTCAAAAATACTAAGTTCTGTCACAAGTCTTTAAACAAAAGTAACAGCATTATTTAACTGACTGACAGTACCTATGGGTTTTTTGTTATATTCATACAGATATGATCTCCAAATGACAAGCTCACTGCTTCTAGAAATTTATTTTTGCATATAGTTCTGCTCACTAAAACAATAGCCAAAAACTGCCTCTCTCA